TGTTTTAATACTAGAAATGTTGTCTAGCTTAAGTGCATATTCAGCATTTACAGTTTACAGGTAATAAAAATATTTCTAAGAATTCCTTTCTAAAAGTACACAGAGGGGAAAGATAATTCTGTTAAACCCAACAAATGCTAAGAAGATAACACATAAGATCAGAACCCAAATGATAAAAAAGATAAGTAAGAAATACACAGATCTCATTTCCTTCATCAGCAAATAAATTTCTAGAAATTTGGAGGTAGTACCAAAAATAAAATAAATCTTTCATTCATTCTCCATTCTTGAGTTATATGTGGAAAAAAGGGGAAATCACATCCTGAGTCAAGTTCAAAGAGATGCTAAAGAAGACAGTGATAAGCACACTCTCCTCAATCTGCCTCTAGCCCTGAGTATCGTCCTCCAAATTCCAAAACTACGTCACTGATCTAAACAAAGGAAATAAATACCATTTTCTACAAGCACTTTAGCTGAAAGTTATCATGATTTTTTCAGCTTACTGTAATTTTAAATAATTCAAACTTCAACACAGATAACTCTCATGAGATCGTCCATTAACCAAAGTAAAGAGAAGTTCATAACAATATCTAATCTGTAAACTGGGCTACCAATGCAATGAAAGAATAATAGTATATATTTCTGTCTATACAAACAAATACCTTATATATACATATGTATATGTAGTACCTATATATATACACACACACTCTCCCCAAATACATACACATTATACATATACTCAGAGAAATAAACATGAGAAAGTAAACACCAAATTGTCATAGTGGTTACCTTTTAGTAAAATGACGTAGTAAAAGATGGCTGGTATTTTTTTCCTCTTCATTCTTTTTATTATTTGTCTATATTTTCTAAATATTTTTGTACTGAAATATTAATTTTGTGACTTTTAGAAGGTCTACCAAAAAAATCACATTGCTCCAAATTTTTCAAATATAGTAAAGAACTATGTTTAAAGAAATCAATCCAGATGTTAACCATGTTATTTTAACTTTTCACCTACAAAATTTTCTCTCACTAGTTAATTCAGATCACTGGACCACAAAGATTATTTTACCTATACACTAGATTTTAGAATAATGATTTTCTTAGAAACTGTGGCCTCAAGTCAATTCAAATTAATACTTTAAGATTTTCTAATGTTTAGACATTATTTAAGGGAAGAAAATCATTAACAAAAAGGTCTTATAACCTTTGATTTGTGTAGTTTAAATCCAATGGGCTCAATCCCACTGCAATTTAAGGCAAGATTTAACTTTCCAGTTAGAAGATGAAGGAAAGGGTAGAGTGAGGAGATTAATATTTTTTAAAAACTCATTTAAAAGTCTTGGGATAACACACAAAGCAAACCATACCAGTTCTCTTGGGTTCTTATACAATACAATAAAATCTCATTACAACGCATCTCATTATATTGATTATCCAATTATATTCCTGGTCACAATATGTCCCCTGTATTCATAAAGATGTATCAGATACCTTGCCTTCTGTTGTATGGCTACACTGCAAAGGTGTTACTGCTACTGCACTGGATATTTCTATTCTATTGTACTTATCCTTATTCAAGGACTTTTTTAATGAAAAAAATTAGGTAGATGTACTTCAAAAACATGTTATATTATATACAATATTCCACATGTGAAACACTTTACATAGTTGTTTTATTCAGTATAGTCAAGGATGCTTTTATTTTTAAACTGCTTTAGAAAGCGTAACAAATTGCTTATTTGAACTGAAAATTTAAGGTGCCCCCCAAACCTACAAAATCTCTCTAATGTTTATTAAACTGAAGCTGGACTCCAGAATGTATAACCTGGACCTAACTGTCAAGAACTGAGCAGCATCAGAGCTTCAACAGTATGTTGTGATTAAAACAGTTCCTTCCATGCATTCTATGCTTGCAAAATTCAGGAACTCCAAGATGGCAGGACCAGCTGTCCAAGCTTAACTTTTCTACCATCATTACAACTACCCTCCCCCTAAAGACCCTTCCTGCATGTGTGTCTCTCCTCTGGGTACTACCATAACACAGTTTCATAACCTATGTCAAATTCCATGATATGTTATCAAATTCCCCTGCCCCCTTTTTGTTACAATGGCTCTTGAAGCTTAAGTAACTTTTTTTTTAAGTTCACAGGCAACCCAAACAGATTTCCTAATGAACTGCAGATAGTAGCATAGTTTAAAGTAAAAAAGAAAATTCGTGATAGATTTTTCTTCCTCTCTGTGCATTTTTCCCCTGAAGGTAACACCCAAAACTAGCACAAACACTTTCAATCCTACTTCAATGTTTTACTTTTTGTCTTGGGTTCCTAATTACTGCTTCTCTTCCCTTCTAAAAATTCATTTATCTCTTTCAGTAAAAAGAACAGTAATAATATGTTGAACAACTCTGAAATAAATTTTGTCATGTAAAAAATTAATTACGCATTCCGAACCTGGTCACTGTAGTCCTCTGGGAATTGCCTCTGCACCTCAGGATCTGTAAATAATTGACAGATAATATTAATTGGCTTTGGATTAGTGAGCAAGCAGAGGATCACACATTAATATTTGATCAGAAGATGATAGCAGCCCTGGCAGGGGATCCAAGGGGGGCAGCTGAGGCTGCTATGTTGATGAGCACAAGGAAGGTCTCGGCAAGGCACTCCCATTACCCTCCTCCAGAAATAGAAAAAAGAAAAATTTAAAGACCTGATGCTACTGTTAACTTTAAACTATTACCCAATGCAAAAATCTTGCCAGTTGCAAATTGCCCTCAGTATATTTTTTTCCAGAGAAAGTGAGTTCTAAACCTGCTTGACTTTTCTTCTCTAATCAGAAGCCTCCTTTTCATAGTTCAAGATGTAGGCCTGATAAACCACCTTAAGCAGCAGCTCCAGATTGGGGCGGCGGGGCAGGGGTTATGTGTGACAGTGAGGGTGAGAGAAGTCTTTCAAGGAACAAATGCAAAAGTCCTTGTTTTTAAAGATAAAATACACACTTCCCCAAATACTTATGAGCTCTTGAAAAGACAGATGAAACTAAGTAAAGTCTTCAAAACAAAAACCAAACAATAAATATTCTTTTAGCTTACCAGTGTAAACATTTTAAACTTGCTCAGAAACTAAAAAATGCATAGGAGAAAATACCTTTCATGATGGTCAATTTAAAACGAAATTACTAAAGGGTCACTTGATTCTTCCATCACAATTGCAAGATAATCCAATGCCATTTTCTGTAAGTCAATACATAAGTGTACTAATTGAAAACTATTAGCACTCCATTTACCATCGATTAGGAAAACATTCAATCTTTTCTAGTAAGAGAAAGATTTGGTTCCTCAGAGACACACTGAGGGAAGTGATCAGAATAATACCTATTTGAGAAACTATGTATCAATGCAAAAGGCTTATGGAAAGCATGACAGTAGAGGACCCCTCTCACAGAGTCACAATATATGCCACTCACTTTCATATCTAGGTTTTAAAACACCAATTTACTTCTCTGTGAAAGTGTAAAGTTAAAACCCTTTATAGCACAACGCAAAAATGCAGTTAATTGTTCTGCAGGGGAAGAATCAAAAAAGAGAAATAAGGGTCTATTCACATCATACATTTAAATCCTAGAAATACCAGTTTTCAAGGCATTAAAGTCGATGGATGTTACTTTTAAAAATAAGACTAATTACAAATGCAAGACTATTCCAAAGGTCACATCAAAAGAACAGCCTCCCTAAATCGGTGGCACAAAAAAATGTAAAGGATATTATCGATCATTTCAGCTCTTAGGTGTCTTCCAACTGACTTAAAAACTAAGAATCACCCTGGCTGGTGGGCTCAGGTGGTTGGAGCATCACCATCCTGTGCACCAAAAGGGTGCAGACAGGTTCCTGGTCAGGGCACACACCTAGGTAGTCAGTCCAATCCCTGGTCAGTCAGGGAGCCTACCAGAGGTAACCAATCCCAATCAATCAATCAATCAATCAATCTCTCTCCTCACTCCCACCCCCTGATACCCTAACCCTCCTCTCTTTCTAAAAAAGCAATGAAAAAAATGTCCTCAGGTCAGGATTTAAAAAAATAAAACTGGGGATTATTTTATTTTTACCCTCATCTTCAAATACTAGAAGGGACAAATGCCACCTCTAGACCATGACTAGCAGAATTCTGATGCGCCAGTGAACACACTGTTGCCTCTCTGTCCAGAAGGGGTGAAATTGCACAAGGACCTCATCTTCCTGAGACAGGAGGCCAGAGGACACTAACCACAGTAGGTAGGTCTACAGGGAAGGACGAGCAGCAGGGTACAAAGGGACAAACAAACCCCTAAAAGTGTGTTGTGGGATTGGTGGCAGGCAGGGGATCAGAGGGGGGACTAAAAAAGAGGGTAATGGCTACAATTCTGAAAACATACAAAACTGAGTTTGTCTAGGAAAAAAACTGGTATTTTAAGATTTAAAATGTACTCCCAAGGCAAAAAAAAAAAAAAAAAATCACTTCTAAGTCACTGAAGTATGCAGTAAAACAGAGGTTGGTAAAGCCACAAAAATAATCTAAGGCTTATTCTTTTCCTTCCAATTGTCATATGATTAAAACTTACTCTTCAACCAGAAAACGTCAGATAGAAATGGCTCACATATAATCTTTACTATAATGTCCTCTTTCTTGCAATAGCTTGTACTTCTTGGGACCCACAAAATACCAATGAAAATAAAAATGGAATAAAACCAAAGAATTTTTTATCACCATTTTGTGAGGGATAAACTTCAGAAACCAAAACTTGTGGTATAGTCTTCAATTTAAAATACATGTTTCTTAATATAGGTAAGAGAAAGAAGGTATTTCATTCTCTTTAACCAACTATACTATAAGAAGCTACATAATAATTAACTTGTCACTTTAAAATGTATTTTATTCACATATAAAACAGCAGAATTGAAAAAGAGAAGGAAACATGGATAAAAAGAAAAATCAACCTTTTTTATATATTGAAGGTAAATATGACCACAGTATGCCAAGATGAAGGTCATTGCCTACATGAGGCACTGCCTCAGTGTAGGCAACATCATAGACACCACCAGCTAAATTCCTTCCACTGTCCTAAGACTAACCCTAGGGTGAGATTCCCAGATTTTAACAAAATCATGTTCCAAGATAATACATAAATTTTATTTACTATGATTGAAGCATAAAACTTTCGACTTCCTTTCTTTAAGGCCCTGAGGTTTACAAAAAAAAAAAGAACTTCATGGGCCCTTAACACTCTTCTAAAACAGTATTTTTTAAAAAGGCAATGCTTTTTAAAACCAAAGCCCAGACTATATAAAGTTCCATTCAATTAGCTCAGAGATCTAGCCTGATAGTTAATAAAACTATGAAAGCCGTTTTGTAAATAGTAACACAAAAACTGAAAATAATTTGTTTGAATTTTCTTAGAATGTCTATTTTATACCGTAGGCTGAAATCTTTTTTTCACAGAGAGTTGATCATTATGCCATAATGTCACCAAAATATCGACATTTGAAACATCTGAGTTAAAAAGGTCCAAATACAATCTGCTTCTCTCAAGCAACACAACACCCGCCTTACTAACAGTTTCAGCATGGCACTTGTACAAAACCTAGCACCCCGCAGTTAAGCAAACCGCCTTTAAATTTTCTGTCTGGCAGCAATCCACTTGCGTGTCTGTATGTTTTTACAAGTACTCTATGTATTTCATTGCATCAGCTGCATTTCTTTGTGTTTTAAATGGTCTGGGAACATTTTATGAAATGTCCTGTATCTTTATGTGGAAAATAACATACACTGGACAACTGTGCATCAGTCTAATATTTATATGTCCATTTCTTTATCTAACATCCAATGCTATAATTGCTAATGTTCCCAAAACACCTTCTCACATTCATACCCTCACTGCCAAATGCAGTGTCACCAAACAGCTAGCTTTACAAACACAAAAATCTGCAGATAAGAGAACTACCATGGAAAAAAGTAACATAATCTGCTTAGGCAATTGGCAGTAAGAATGGAGTTATTGGCATATGTCAAGCTTTTCCTCTAAGAATTGTCCCTGACAGAAAATTAGAAACATAATACAGCAGTACATAGGACGTCTTCCCTCCATATCCTTCTCGGCAACTTTCTCCAGATTTAAATAAGACATTATTACAAAATTAAAAATCAAGTTCATCATATCCTAGGAAAACACTTCAACAACAAAAGAATCATATTTAAAATATCTTGCCAACAAGATGCATGGTATGATAGACTCCACACATCTCCTAGCCACATAAGCCCAGTAAGGCTTCACATTATGTCAATGCAGTGGGCCACTTCCTTGTCCCTGCACCACGGTCACACGAGAGGCCGTCCCCACACAGAACATGGGCACCACTTCCTTGGAGGCCACAAGACATATTTCCATGTCAAACACAGACGTTTCACAGTACAGATTCCCAACAGCACAGTCTTACTCAGGCACAGAACATGACCATGCTTAGAACGCTGTCTTCACAGTAAAAAAAAGTTTGATCTCAAAAATGTCTTACTTATTTTTTCAAAGAAATGCTTATATTCTTCAATCTCAATAATACGTGTTTTCTAGTGTTCTACTGTAAAATACTTTTAAATCTTTAAGGTATAGCAGATTGCCACAGTATGTTTAATTAATAGAATAAGAGTTTTGGGCAAGACTTATTAGAAAGGTGCTGTAAATTATTTTACACAGGCTCCAAAACCTTGAATTCTGCCTTAGGCTTAAAGTTCCTAAAAAACATGGTAGACAGAACTTTTACAACAGAAATGCAAATAATCCATAAGTACTATGGTTATGTATGAGGGCTCATTTATAGATCAGTAACTAGTATGTGTACACACACACCCCTCTCACCAAATTATCTGCCTGTTTTCCTGTCACACCAGTGACTCCACTCGAAGGGTCAATGCACCACATGGTAATTGATTATTGAAAAATACACTGTCTTCATTTCCTGTGAAAGGCATAACAACTGCATGCTAACTAAATGTTACGATCTTCTGTAACTGGAACTTCTTAGGAAATTTAAGAGAAACTGCAAATGTGGCTGTTAATATATAGAGACCTATACTACTTTCACTTTTAACATGCTAGGTATCGAGGCAGAAAAAATCACATTTAATGCCTACTAAATTTATCCACTCATTATCTCTAGCATATTTCAGTCATTAAGAGGCAAAACACTGAACATACTGAAAGTTAACAGTTATAAAAATCTGTGCTTTAAAAGCAAGACTTCAATATTAGCTATAAATGATATCATCTTATTGTTCAATTTCATGGAGTTTAAGATGCTATCTTCCTCTCCCCCTACAACCACAAATGTTAATCCAAGCTGTAATTAGATTTAACTTTCCAGATGAGAAGATGGAAATATGCTGCAAACCAGTAACAGTCCATTACACTGCCTATTACTATTACATTTTCAATTTTTATACTCTAAAAATGTAGACTCTTAAAAAAAAA